AAATTGTTCACATTGTGCCGTTTTCGAATTGTAATAGTATCTTTGAAAGCTTGCTAAACATAGTCCGGTTACCGGCTCTAGCTTACAAACTATAAAATATATTGTTTGGTTAATTTATTAAAACACTAGTTTGAAGCAGTATATTATTTTTTTTTTAAACATTTGACCAAAACAAATCTGTATTGATACATTGATACATCAATACAAATACAAAAAAAGGCATTTACATACATGTATGATTTAAATCAAGAATATTTTTTTTTGGGGGAAGGGGGGGTGGGGGTCAGGCATTTTTATTTTTAATGTCTCCCAAATAAATGCCAAGCAATATTAAATAAAGTTTCAAATTCGATTGTGGCGCTAAGCGGAAACAAACTTGTGAAATCAGGTTTTAGCTTACAAACTTCAACAATATTATATTGGTTTTGACATAAAAAATCTCTATGTCACTGTTAATGTAGTGTATGCTACTAGTTTGAAAGATCACTACCTAGGATGAATATATCCAATTCTGCTAAATAACGTGTTTCTTGATTAAAAAAGGGAGGCGAAAGATACCAAAGGGACATTCATACTCATAAGTCAAAAATAAACTGACAAGGCCATGGCTAAAAAAGAAAAAGAAAAAGACCAACAGTACACAAAACACAACATAGAAAACTAAAGACTGAGCGACACGAACCCCACCAAAAACTGGATGTGATCTCATGTTGATTAAACTTCAGGTGTGAAAACATGTATTTCAGAAACCGTGCATTTTGAATGTCAACTCTAAATAAAAGATTTTAAATTTTAATTTAAAAATGCATCATTTGATTTTGACATTAAATTCTAATTCGTGGATTTTGTTGTTATTGGCGATTCCAGAGTTTGGTGAAAGTGGGCGTAATTATCCGTAATAGTAACAAAATAAAGGCGAGCGGAGATGACTTTATTACGATGTACTGTTGTTTGTTGCTGTCTATCATGCTTCGTTTTTTAAACATAAATTAGACCTGTCAATTGATCTCTGGTGAACAATTGTCACATTGGCAATCATACCACATCTCCTTATTTTATATTTATCATTTTATTCTATAAAAAAAACGTAAAATATACAATGTAGTTTAAATCACAATTATCCTATAAGTTAAAAAAATTCCAACAGTAACAAACATGTTTTCCGTCTTTTCATACATTGCTGTAATTGCCTTAAAGGGGCATTAGCTACGAGATAAAAAAAAAATAAAATATGACTTTTGTTTGTTCAATCATTAATGACAGTGATATAGTGAAATACTAATTCGCTTTTAGCAGCCAATTTGGTTCAATTTTGTCAAAATAAGATAAGAAACATCGCTGGTGAATTAATCACTTGCAAGTGAATAATTCGAACTCATTGCATTCGTATTCGTGTGACCATTAATTTAAGCCCTTAGCTGGAGATGGGTTGCGCATGTATACAGCTTTTAAAAGGAAAATAATTTCAAAACTGAAAGTGAAATAAGGATGAATCATTTGGTTGACTGATTCGATCCCCAAAAAAAATCATTCTTACACAGGTAAAAACAACGAAAAACATACTTTTTAACCTAAAATATGAAATCAAACAAACCTAGAAAAATCCAATTGCACGTGAATGTTATATGTTTATATTTATATTTATATCGGGTTATATGACCGTCGGCCGTCTTCGGAGGTCATCTCGATGGTTAATTAGATGACGTCTAGACAAAAATACACACGAAATGTCGATACATATTATCGAGTCCATGCATTGTTAATTGTTTATTTTAGACTTTTTGTAATTTGGATATACGTTTTAGTATGTTATAAATCAAATATGAGAATTTGAGTCAAATCGTTGAAGATGAATTTGACAGCAGCTGTTAATGCCCCTTTAAAAGATACAGTTTGTTATGAAAAATATCTGACGCACAAACGTATGACGGCACTAACTAATATGTTAGAAATGTGTTATATAAGACGATGTACTATAAAATACTATAATTTTTATACTTACTTGACAAAAATTCAACAATATTAAAAAATTATACATACCATTTCCGTCGACACCATTCGGAACAAGAACAAATAGTATGAAGAAGAAAAAGAGTAATTTGATATGGCTCTCCATGATTAGAATAGTAAATGTCAGTAATGCTTGAAGTCTGCTTTATATTTAACTTGCACAACTTACACGTGATTGTTATACGTGTTGTTTTATGTTAGAAAGAGGATGTGTACGCTTTATATGATAAATTCGTTTATATTAAAACAAGGAAATTCATATTTTTTTGTTTTAACTTAATTAATGTATAAGGTAACTTCTTGGATAAAACCGACATGTAATAACGTAATCGTAGAAGAGCCTGTTTTCAGTGGATGAAAATATTTAATACGTTTTTATATGTCCGCAACTAAAGTGTTTACTTTCAATTTTTTGTTGAAGTTTAAACATAAAAAAAAAACAACTTATAAATTAAATTCAAAGTGAAGAAGGAAATGGAAAAAATAAAAGTTACCTCAAAATAAAGAGTCATACATTACTTCAAAGCAAGGTATTCATTGTAACCCTCTAGATCATCAATCCTGTTGGTTAAACTTTCATTAAAGAAAAGGGCCATTTCTTATGAACGTTGATCCCCGTTTTACGTTTGATGAATGATACAGAAAGAAAAATCTTTGATTTTCGATATGAGGCTCTTTGTTGAAAGAATGTAAATGTTCGTTAAATAAAACCAGCTATAGTGATTTGGAAAGAGTACAAATTACAGATGTTTAAGAAAATATATATATGGTCTTTCGAATCATTACTGTTGGATTCTATGAATTGACTTACTTATTTTCGAATAAGATCATTCTATGATGTAAATAACTATACATTTTTTTTACAGTCTTAGACACCTGCCAAATGTTAGTTCCGGTGAAAATAGTCACTATTGTGTTTAACTTTTTGTGACGAAATTGAAAAATTCTAATGTTCTGTATCAGGTAACATTTATCCAAAGCTGTTATTCATTACGTTATCATATTGTCATATTTTTGTTGTAATTCGAGAGAAGCTTATTGTAATTGTCTATCATTCGGTTTTATTGTAAAGATTGTTCTTTGTCTTACCATGGAAGAATTTATATTGACTCCTTTCACTTTACTTCCATGGTCTTACAGAATACCTTTTTTTTTACTGTAGATTGTGTCTGGCGTACACAATTCTTATTCTGGTATCTATGATGAGTTTATTTATATGTAATGGAAGCAAAATTGGACATTCATTTTGCAATAAAAAAACAATAGCTGTCGCGGAGAGCTGATAAGATAATAATAATATAGACATCTTTATCAATGATTTATGTTCGTTGAAGTATTGAAGAAGAACAAAATGTTAATTATTCTAAATATAAATATTTTAAGGTTAGCAAAGTTTTCTTCATTTAACTTAATTGACATATATTGTCTGTAAATACCAAGTTAAAATATGCTATTGAGCTCACACTAAGGTTGTAGCATCCACGAACACAAAGTTGGCTGTTCTGTTTGTTGATTTGCTCTCAAAAGTTTCTATTTTTCCAAACTTTCAGTCTCGCGCGTACTCGATGAAAGTTATTTCGAAACACGTGTCTCGATCGTACCTTATCACTAGATCTTGTATTGAAAGATGTTTCATTTTTAACAAAACTAGTATGTAGTAAATAATTTGGGCATATATTGTTAAAAATGTTGAAAACATGATTGAGTCTTAGTTGTTTGACTCTATTACTAATATTTAAAAAGCCCAATTTCTTAAATTCAATATATGTCACAATCTTTCTGGGATGTAATTGCAGAATAAATCTCACAATCTTATTTTGTGCCACTTGAAGTTTATTCTTCATTTGTTTTGATATACCTTCATACCAGCATGCACATGCATAGTCAAAATGACATTGAATCAGAGAAGAGCACAATGTTTTCCTAGATTGAAAATTTAGACACTCTTTGTTTCTATATAATAATTTAAGCCTTTGATTGACTTTTTTTCACTAGAGTTGACAATAAAATCACCAGTTAGAAACTGATCAATTATTATTCCCAAATATTTTACAAAAGTTTTGGATTCAATATTAATACCATTACACGAGATAGCAATATCACCCGGTATTAAACACCGAAGTTTTCGACCAGGACCAAAAATTATACTCTCCGTCTTTCCCAAATGTAGGGACAATTTATTGTCAGTTAACCAATCATGGCATGATTCCAGCATTCTGGATAATTTATGCGAGATGACCCCAGGGTCTATATGGGAAAATAAAATTGCATATATCAAAACTTTACAATCTGAGTCGATGCTAGTTTGAACATCATTGACATAGATCAAAAACAATAGTGGACCCAGTATGCTACCTTGAGGGACACCACATGTAATATAACATACTTCTGAAATCACCCCATTTACATGCACTTACAACCTGTTTTCTGTTTGTCAAATATGACTCAAACCAAGGTATAGATCTAACCCCAATTACTTCTAATTTGTCACATAATATCTTGTGATCTACTGTGTCAAACGTCTTCTGTAGGTCTAATAGGACCATGCATGCCTGTAAAAAGACCTAATTTGGCTGTTTGAGTTTTAATGGATAGTTGTCTCATTGGCACTCATACCACATCTTCTTATTTATATGTCAGTTACTTTGTTAATATAAATCAGTTGTTTTTACTTGCTCATTTTGATATTACGTACAGTGCCGTTAGTTTGTTTGTTTGTTTTTCGCAAGGACGTATATTAGAGTGTTAGTTATACGTCCTTGGTTTTTCGTTCCTAAAAATTGTAACTATTAAAGCGTATGATCTGACCATAACTGTAAATGATGTAAATAGCACACACCTATACAGTTTTCATTTGTTGAATCACACATATATAAAACTTTTGAATTTAAGCACCCCCTCACACTATGTAAATATCCTAGTAAATATATTTGAGTGGGAGTGCTCCGATATATAACGGAGGATCTTACCTGTACAGAACAGAATACTGGTTCCTCTCCCCTTACTTATAGACCCTTCAGCCATGGACGAACGAGTTAGAGCAACCTCTAGAGTTTGTACGATAAAACGGAAGTATTCTGGATATGAAGAAGCATCAGAGGAAAGCAGCAATGCACCGAACGCGCAAATTCTAAAAGGAAAAGATGTTATAGAGCCAAAAACTAAGCGAACGGCGTCCCTCTCAGTGCCTGAGCCACCATCAGAACCCCATTCATCGCCTAACAGTAACAGCAAAGATATGGGATCTTATACAGATTCATGCAGTAAAACCACGGATTTATCCACTGACAATATGGGAAGAGAGTCTAGTCTTAATTTGCCTCCAAATACAAGCAGTTTGAACGTTGATTCTTCTGAGCAAAGCACTAGTGTTGAAAGTATTTACAATATCGCTATGACTGGTTCAACTGACCTGAGTGTTCTGCTTCATCTTGGTTTTGGTGATGTATACACAGCTTTAAGAAACCAAGATTTGAAAAGCCGTATACTTGAAGAATGTATCAATTTTGCTTTTGATAAGTACTTTTTTAATGGAGACAACTATACAGTTGTTACAGATATAAATAAATTGGCCACAGCCAAAGTTAATTTCAACGAATTAAGCAAGCCCGTTGAAAGTTCAATGTTGTATCAATATTTTGTGAAAGAAGATAAAGGATGTTGCTATGAACATTTCAAAGACCAAGATGGAAATCAACTAGACAGGAAAACTTTGTACAGAAACACATGCTCATTGTAAGAACTATTAAGAATTATTCAATGAATCAGATGATTATTAGATTTATATTCTTTACTATACAAGTTGTCAGCTGATCTTTGTGCTCATTTCTTATATCCCCTCCTATGATATAGGAATCAGTCTGTCTGTCAGTCTGTCCATGTGCCTTTCAAGTGCAACTCCTAATTGGCTTATCAGGTTTTGATGAAACTTTACAAAATTGTAGTTTACTATCTGCAGATGTGCATGAAGGAATATGGTTGCTGTCCAAATATTTCAAAAGGGGAATAATTTTACTTGTACTCTTAAAGCAGGAATATCACACTGAGAGGTCACTCACTGTTCATTTTTCACTCGAGTTGTCCATGTTGTCTCCCTTTAATATTTTTTTTTAACTTTTTCCAAACAATAGGTCTACATGACCCTTTCAGATTTATTTTGGTGATTATTTGAAATTTCAATGGGTATGATGTAGCTTGAGAATATTACATGTACATTGTATCATGTGTTTTATATAGAAATAAGAAGATGTGGTATGAGTGCCAATGAGACAACTCTCCATCCAAGTCACAATGTGTAAAAGTATACATGTAAGACCCCTTTTATATAAAAATAAGAAGATGTTGTATGATTGCCAATGAGACAACTCTCCACAAGAAACCAAAATGACACAGAAATTAACAACTATAGGTCATCATATGGCCTTCAACAATGAGCAAAACCCATACCGCATAGTCAGCTATTAAAGGCCCTGAATTGACAAATGTAAAACTATTCAAACGAGAAAACTAACGGCCTGATTTATGTACAAAATAATGAACGAAAAATAAATATGATATACAGCAACAAACGACAACCACTGAATTACAGGCTCCTGACTTGGTACAGGCACATACAGAAAGTGGTTAAACATGTTAGCGGGCGCCCAACCCTCCCCCTAGACTTGTTTAGAATTGAACTGATCTCAGATGAATCTATTTCAAACATGTTAAAAAGACCATTTCACAATTTCTTTTGCAACAGAAAGATCATTGATCAATCTTTTTAAATCCGGTGCATTTACACTGTAGATAGAAAAGTTTCATTCTTACCTCATTTTCTTAGATGATTTCAAGTTAAATTTTTGAAAGAAAATTTGATCACAGAAGATCTTTCCAAAAAAGTGGTCTATTTAGTTGTATTCTGAATCTGGAGGTACAAACAATGTAGACCTTGGTTGGAGATTACAATTACTATAACATGTATAAGAAAGATGGATCTTATGTAGTTTGATCTAAAAAAGATCAATTTATTGGACTGGTGTAAACAGGACCTAAACAACATGTTTGTAATGTATTTTAATTCTTTTCAGGTCTTGGAAACAAAACAGTCTGACGATAATGGCAACTTCTAAAAATACTACTGTAAATTCAGAAATTATTGTGTGCATTTATTTTTGCGATTTTTTAGGAATGGACAAAAATGCGAGATAAATTATTGACGTTTTGGGAAAATTGGTATACAGATATATGTATCGGAATCAGAATGCAAGTTCTTATTAAAGCGATACTCACCCAGTCCCATAATTCGCATTAATAAAAACTTCGCAATATTTTCTGAATTTACAGTATACCAATTTGGCATAATCATGTGTTAATATTGTCAAAATTTAAGAAAAGAAAGGTATTAAACATATCAGTGAATATGCACTCTAGGTCTTTTCATGAAACACCAGTTTAAAACTTTATGCTAAACATGAACTTGAGGTGTAAATGTGTAATACCACCATTGCTTTTCCCCTATTAGTCTTTGTTAAATTTGCACTTTTCAAAAAATTGTGCAGAATTTATCTTTGTTTCAAATAAAGAAATACTTAGCATGAGTAAAGTTTTATCCTGTCCAGTACTACAGACAAAATTTCACAAAACATTTCATCGCATATAAGATAATAACCATCACTGGAAATTAACCAATCAAATTTCCACCCCTTTCTTTCCTGTTTATAAGCTTTAGTATCCATGTAACCTCAAGTTTCCAAAATATTTTATAGAAACACCAAATAAAAAAAAGAATGGTGCTTTGAAACACCCAAGATATATGTTTATGACTCAGAATTTTTTTACTGCAATGAAATGTAAGATTAATTTCATACATTGAACTGTCAAATTCAAGGGAATATTTTTTTTAACCCTTTTTCGTATGCAACCGGATGTGACATACTATTATTTGGTGGTATTACACCTTAAACAGCATCAGACAAAGGCATTCCAATGATTTAATTGCTAGTTTATTTATAACTGTACAGTTTAATTTCTGTGAAGAAGATCCAGAACTTGATTCTTCGTTTACTGTCTTTGGCTATCTATAGAATAAGTAATCCTTTATATTTTCAGACTATATCCAAAGTTACAATTTTTTTCTGATAACCTACTGAATTTATTGGATGATGAAAAGAAAAGTGAAAGGAAGTACCACCAACTATTTATGTCGTTTGCTCTAATTTGTGGATTAAGGATTTTGTAAGTATAATAAGTCACATATAAAGATTGTTGTACAAAATGAAACTAGTTATCAGAAATAAATTATTTTACTATGGAAGTCACACTTATGTGTACATAAAAGGGAGAAGGTTTGGTACCATTAAAACGTATAGATTAGACCGTTGGTTTTCCCGTTTGAATGGTTTTACATTAGTAATTTTTGGGGCCCTTTATAGCTTGCTGTTCGGTGTGAGCCAATGCTCCCTGTTGAAGGCCGTACCTTGACCTATAATGGTTTACTTTTATAAATTGTTACTTGGATGGAGAGTTGTCTCATTGGCATTCATACCACATCTTCCTATATCTATATACAATATACAAAATGTATCTACATATTACCATAAAGAATGGTTTAAAGCCCACAAGAAGTTACCAGAAACAATATTTTGTAAATAAAATAGATAAAAGATACCAACTTACAGGATTTAGGCTTTTCATTCTAATGGATGTAATCTAATTAAATAACAATATAATAGCTTTAAAATATTATATAATAACAATTATAAACAAGGAAACTGTTTACTTTTCCGAGCATTTCAATGATAAAAGAATAATTTATAATTTAATTAAGTTTGGAGATAGTGGTCTCAGTTCTATTGTTTAATAAATATAACTAAATACCAAAAATCTAATCTTAAAAACAATGTATGTGAACTGAAATAATTTTGAATTCTGGAAAATTGATAAGAAATGTATGATGAATACTAACCGAATGTAGGGGGGTTAGTTAGTTCATACTGAAATATCAGTGAAAGTAGAATTAACCTTATTTAGTTGGGTTAGTTTTCATCATACATTTGTTATCAATTGTCGAGAATTCAAAATTATTCCAGATTCAAATAATTCCTTGTTTAAAGCATACTTCGATGCATTAGTATACATTACAACAGTCATGTAATAAGCACTTAACAGTTAAATACCAAATTTAAACAAGCATATTTGAAAATAACATATGCATTTGTGTACATGCAAACAACACATTAAGCACTTTCTAAAGCAGACATTACAATAAGCATAGCACACATAGATTCAACATAAAAAAACCTACCTCACAGGTTTTTGTGAAGGCTTGAAATACGTTAATATCAAATCACATCAGGTTGATGCCAACATGGTGCATCATCAAAATGATGAATAACTTTGAAACTTCAAAACCAAACTCCATAACAGAATATATAATAATACAATTTATGAAGACAAGAAAATGGTGACCATCTGAAAATAAACTTGCAGCCATTTCTCAGAAGCATCTGGTAGTGTGTCAATCATATCCATTACCATAGTGTTGTATTGTGCAACACAGTTCAGATTATTTTCAATCACAACACAATGACCTTGCCTGAGTGACTTTGGTTAAATTTTGTGTTTTGGTCTATTTTTCAAAAACCTATGGTAGTTCATCATTGATATTTCACCATTGCAGTGTTCTTTTAAAGTGCAATGCTGTAATAGTGTAATTTAATGTTTTTAATAGGCATTCCATTTATTCTTCTAAAACAGCAAAAATAAATGTTTACAAAAATAGAAACATGTTGCTACAGTGGGGTATCTTAAAGTTTCTTGAAGTCACATTTTTGTCGAGCCTTCGACTTTTGTCGAAAAAGTGAGACATAGCGATCCTACATTCCGTCGTCAGCAGCGGTGTCCACAAATATTCACTCTGTGGTTAAAGTTTTTGAAATTTTAATTACTTTCTTAAACTATCCTGGATTTCTACCAAACTTGGACAGAAGCTTGTTTATGATCATAAGATAGTATCCAGAAGTTAATTTTGTAAAAAAAATATCCTGTTTTTCCGTATTTTACTTATAAATGGACTTAGTTTTTCTGCCAGGAAACATTACTTTCACTCTGTGGTTAAAGTTTTTAAAATATTAATAACTTTCTTAAACTATCCTGGATTTCTACCAAACTTGGACAGAAGCTTGTTTATGATCATAAGATAGTATCCAGAAGTAAACTTTTAAAAAACAAAATTCCATTTTTTCGGTATTTAACTTATAAATGGACTTAGGTTTTCTGCCAGGAAACATCACATTCACTCTGTGGTTAAAGTTTTTAAAATTTTAATAACTTTCTTAAACTATCCTGGATTTGTACCAAACTTGGTCAGAAGCTTGTTTATGATCAAAAGCTAGTACCTAGAAGGAAATTTTGTGAAAATTTTGTACCTATTTATCCGCATTTTACTTATAAATGGACTTAGTTTTTCTTCCAGTTAACATTACATACAGTCTGCAGTTAAAGATTTAAAACATTTATTAGATTCATAAACTATCCTGGATTTTTACCAAACTTGGACAGAGGTTTCTTACAATCAAAAGATAGTATTGAAAGGAATATTGTTATTATTTTTTTTCCTCATTTTTGTTGAGCCTTCGATTAACAGCAAAAGTAGGCGAGACACTGGGTTTCGCGGAACCCTTATAAATTTTCTAGTTTTGTATAGCTTTTTGAAATTGTGCAAGCAAAATAAATTTATAAAGTTTGTTTATATAACTTCAGTGATGGACCAGACACATCTTCCTCATTAAAGTCTAATCTGTTTATGTAACTTCAGTGATGGACCAGACACATCTTCCTCATTAAAGTCTAATCTGTTTATATAACTTCAGTGATGGATCAGACACATCTTCCTCATTAAAGTCTAATCTGTTTATGTAACTTCAGTGATGGATCGGACACATCTTCCTCATTAAAGTTTAATCTGTTGATATAACTTCAGTGATGGATCAGACACATCTTCCTCATTAAAGTCTAATCTGTTTATGTAACTTCAGTGATGGACCAGACACATCTTCCTCATTAAGGTCTGATCTGTATTTAGTGATGGACCAGACACATCTTCCTCATTAAAGTCTAATCTGTATTTATAACTTCAGTGATGGACCAGACACATCTTCCTCATTAAAGTCTAATCTGTATTAATAACTTCAGTGATGGATCAGACACATCTTCCTCATTAAAGTCTAACCTGTATTTATAACTTCAGTGATGGATCAGACACATCTTCCTCATTAAAGTCTAATCTGTTTATATAACTTCAGTGATGGACCAGACACATCTTCCTCATTAAAGTCTAATCTGTATTTATAACTTCAGTGATGGACCAGACACATCTTCCTCATTAAAGTCTAATCTGTTTATATAACTTTAGTGATGGATCAGACACATCTTCCTCATTAAAGTCTAATCTGTATTTATAACTTCAGTGATGGATCAGACACATCTTCCTCATTAAAGTCTAATCTGTTTATATAACTTCAGTGATGGACCAGACACATCTTTCTCATTAAAGTCTAATCTGTTTATATAACTTCAGTGATGGATCAGACGCATCTTCCTCATTAAAGTCTAATCTGTTTATATAACTTCAGTGATGGACCAGACACATCTTCCTCATTAAAGTCTAATCTGTTTATGTAACTTCAGTGATGGATCAGACACATCTTCCTCATTAAAGTCTAATCTGTTTATGTAACTTCAGTGATGGATCAGACACATCTTCCTCATTAAAGTCTAATCTGTATTTATAACTTCAGTGATGGACCAGACACATCTTCCTCATTAAAGTCTAATCTGTATTTATAACTTCAGTGATGGACCAGACATATCTTCCTCATTAAAGTCTAATCTGTTTATATAACTTCAGTGATGGATCAGACACATCTTCCTCATTAAAGTCTAATCTGTATTTATAACTTCAGTGATGGATCAGACACATCCACCTCATTAAAGTCTAATCTGTATTTATAACTTCAGTGATGGACCAGACACATCTTCCTCATTAAAGTCTAATCTGTATTTATAACTTCAGTGATGGACCAGACATATCTTCCTCATTAAAGTCTAATCTGTTTATATAACTTCAGTGATGGATCAGACACATCTTCCTCATTAAAGTCTAATCTGTATTTGTAACTTCAGTGATGGATCAGACACATCTTTCTCATTAAAGTCTAATCTGTTTATATAACTTCAGTGATGGACCAGACACATCTTTTTCATTAAAGTCTAATCTGTTTATATAACTTCAGTGATGGACCATACACATCTTCCTCATTAAAGTCTAATCTGTTTATATAACTTCAATGATGAATTAGACACATCTTCCTCATTAAAGTCTAATCTGTATTTATTACTTCAGTGATGGATCAGACACATCTTCCTCATTAAAGTCTAATCTGTTTATATAACTTCAATGATGAATCAGACACATCTTCCTCATTAAAGTCTAATCTGTATTTATTACTTCAGTGATGGATCAGACACATCTTCCTCATTAAAGTCTTATCTGTTTATATAACTTCAGTGATGGACCAGACACATCTTCCTCATTAAAGTCTAATCTGTTTATGTAACTTCAGTGATGGACAAGACACATCTTCCCCATTAAAGTCTAATCTGTATTTATAACTTCAATGATGGACCAGACACATCTTCCTCATTAAAGTCTAATCTGTTTATGTAACTTCAGTGATGGACAAGACACATCTTCCCCATTAAAGTCTAATCTGTATTTATAACTTCAGTGATGGACAAGACACATCTTCCCCATTAAAGTCTAATCTGTATTTATAACTTCAGTGATGGATCAGACACATCTTCCTCATTAAAGTCTAATCTGTATTTATAACTTCAGTGATGGACCAGACACATCTTCCTCATTAAAGTCTAATCTGTTTATATAACTTTAGTGATGGACCAGACACATCTTCCTCATTAAAGTCTAATCTGTATTTGTAACTTCAGTGATGGAACAGACACATCTTCCTCATTAAAGTCTAATCTGTATTTATAACTTCAGTGATGGACCAGACACATCTTCCTCATTAAAGTCTAATCTGTATTTATAACTTCAGTGATGGACCAGACACATCTTCCTCATTAAAGTCTAATCTGTATTTATAACTTCAGTGATGGATCAGACACATCTTCCTCATTAAAGTCTAATCAGAAGACATCTACTCCTGATGCATTAGTAAAAGGTTTTGGCATTTATAAGGATACAGATGGATCACACTTTGTCACTAAAGTTGTTGCTGTCGTTGAGGTAAGATAGAATGTAAAAATTGCAATAAGGAATACCTTGGGATAAATGTGACATTGGTAAATAAAAAGTAACATATATAACTGAAACATGAAATTTGACCAATATTACATTTACAATTTGTATATTATATTATCTCAAAGCTATATTATAATAGATAGACAAAAAACTTTGATTAGCAAAGTTGATCAACAATTGATAATTTCCTAAAAGTTTCATGTCCAAAATTGTCAGATGACTTGTTATAGGAGTTATTGCCCTTCATTGGTTGTTTTTTGGAAACTAATTGTTTTTGGTTGTTTTTTGGAAACCTATTGTATTAGCTATTTTCTAACTATAAGGCCAATTAAAATTTATCAATAGATTTTCATCCCCGCCCGCCTCGATTTTTTTGATTTTTAAACATTTCCGGATTTTGTTCATTTCCGTTACCGGTAACCGCCAATAATTCCATTTCATCTCATCATATTTGTGTTGCATACCTATGCATATGCTTCGTTTTATGAGAGTTACAAATCATAGCTTAGAAAGCAAAATAAATTTGATCTAGGTAGTCTAAAAGAGAAATTTCTCCACGTTTTTGCTATTTACTAAAAATAGGTTTCTAAAGCGGCAATTACATGTAAAACAGTGGTTGCCAATCAAAAAGATTAATTCAAGAATTCAAAAAATAATGTAGAATTCCTTATATATACATGATATAAGCTTATTATTACCCTTGTATATGAACAACACGTCACAAAAGGGTAAAGGAGGAAATAAAAAAAAATAAAATCCTCCCACCCGCCCCATTTAAAAAAAAAAAATCTGGATGAAAATCTACTGATTAATTTTAGTTGGCCTAATGGATAGACTCAAACTTTAAAAACCTACATCAAAAATGTTCAGCAGTAGGTTTACATAAAAGTTATGACTAAAGTTGTCGGAGGGCTAACAATAGAAGTTGTCGCCCTTAAATATCTTCTTTCTTTTATTTTACCATTTTATGCATTTGTAGCTTGTATAAACATGATAAAGGTAGACATAGACTTTAAATTGCAAAAATGATAAGCAATAGAAGATTGGTTACATGGACTATTGCTTTTTATGCCTCCACAAGTTATCTGGGGCATATAATTTTACCCTTGTCCGTCATTCAGTCTTTCTGTCTTTCTGTTATTCTGTAACACTTCAGTTTCAGGACTTTCTTCTTAACAACTTGACATATTGAATTGATTTATGATAAACAAGTGTATATTGATGAGTTACAGATAGAGTTTAAGTTTTGTTCTGGTTTATCGACTTTTTTGTCTCGCCTGCGAGACATAGGTGTTGCTTATCTGGCGGCATCGTCATTGTCCAATTCAACAATTGTTAAATTTTCTGCTTATATGTCAGTAAGATAGGAACTATTTGTGATAGATCTATAATATTTCTATCAAGTTGCATAACCATCAGTTCATATCAGTTTGACAACTATTTCCAGGCCCTGCCCCCTAGGTCATGGTCCAGTGACTGAATTAATTAGCAATTTTCTATGTAACGTTTTTTGCTTAAATCAGTTTGATAGACACTACTTGTGATAGATCTATGATATTTTGTAAAAATTGCATTGCTATCAGTACATATCAGTTTGACGACTATTTCAAGGCCCTGCCCCCTAGGTCACCATCCAGTGACTTTGAATTAACTAGCAATGTTGCTGTCCATCAGATTGTCTTTTTTAGAATTTCTGCCGTTAGGCGAGATATATCACTGTATGAACAGTTAATTGTCCTCGCTGCAATACTTACCAAAAGGTTTATATCTGACACCAGTCTTTTGGACAAGTTTGAAAATCAGCACTGATTAACCATCTATGCTGGAGTTATGCCCCTTTGAATGTAAATTACATTGAAAATCGCCTTGTAATGGCTTTCATGCAAATAAATGGTTTTGTGGGGGACATTAGAAGGCTGTTCTTTTATGGTATACAGGTGTATAGTTCTAGATCAAGTTTAAGTTTGATTCAGTTCATTGATTTTTATTAAGTCATTTATTGTCTTTCCGGCAACAAAAGGGTGAGTTGCAGAATGCTAGACATAGGTATAACAATCTGGGGTCAGAGTTTCCTTCTGTCATATGTCCATTGTCCTTGTCCTTTCATGGTTCAGTGACTGCTTGAAAAAAAAATTATATTTTTTATACGACCGCAAAAAATTTGTGTTAGTATAATGCTATCATGTCGTCGTCGTCCAAAGACACATTAGGTTTCCAGACAATAACTTTAGTTTAAGTGAATGGATCCCTATGAAATTTCACCAGAAGGTTCAATACCACTAAAGGAAGGTTGGGATTGATTTTGGGGGTTATGGTACCAACAGTTTAGGAATTTGGGGCCAAAAAGAAGCATTTTTGTAGTTTCTGGACAATAACTTGTGTAAGTGTATGGATCTCTCTGAAATTGTACCACAAGGTTCCATATCACAAAGGGAAGGCTGGGATTGAGTTTGGGGGTAATTGCCCCAAACCTTCAGGAATTCAGGGCAAAAAAAGGGGCCAAAAACAAGCATTTTTGTAGTTTCCGGACAATAACTTGGGTGTAAGTGTATGGATCTCTCTGAAATTGTACTACAAGGTTCCATACCACAAAGGGAAGGCTGGGATTGACTTTCGGGGGTTATTGTCCTAAACGATAAGAAATAAGTGTCTCTAGTTTCCAGAATTTTTTTTGGATTTTTTTTTCATAATTTTTTGTTTTTTTCCCCCAAAAATTTTCCACTTTTACATTGTTTATTTCTGATTTATATATAAAAGCAACAAATAATGATATGGTAGGAGATACACACCAAACAGTGTGTGTAAATTATTATATATAACAGATTAACTAAGTATTGTTCAACAGCACAGTATTGCGCAATAGCAAGAAATCTTCAATTGAAAATGGGGACCTTGGTGGCCGAGTGGTCTAAGTAGTTACTACTGTAATCACTAGCCAGTCAAACTGAGGTTGTGAGTTTAAACCCTGCTCGTGCGGGTGCACTCGAATCCGATCTTAATTGACTAGGATTGTCAGTTTTCCTATCGAAGGTCGTTGGTTTTCTCTGGGCACTCCGGCTTCCTCCACCATTGCACCAATAAAAACTGGCCGCCACGAAATAGCCCAAAAGCGGTGCTGAAAAGTGGCGTTAAAACACCAAAAATCAAAATCAATCAAATCAATTGAAAATGAATACAAATCTTTTACCAATTTCAATGGGATTAATTTAAAGTCTTTAATTTTTGGGGGTTCTAATATGTATTACTATTTTGTAGATTTGGCCCCATTTTAAATTGGTCTACATTGAAGTCCAAAGGGGCCAAAATTAAACTTTGTTTGATTTCATCAAATACTGAATTATTGCGGCTCTATGATATGCTGAATCTTATTGTGTTATTGTGCATTTAGATTTTTTATTATGGGCCCTGTTTTCAAATTAGTCCATATTGAGGATTGAAGGGTCCAAAATTCAACTTTGTTTGATTTCAACTAAAATTAAATTTTTGGTGTTTTTTTATATGCTGAATCTAACCACGTTGTTAGATTTTGGATCTCAGACCATACTAGGTAAATTAAATGTCCCATTTCAAATTTTTAAGATCTTTGACCACATTTATTTTGTGTCAGAAACTCATATTGTGTCCAAACTTGCCCCAACTGTTCAGGGTTCGACCTCTGCGGTCGTATCAGGCTGCTTGGCGAAGCTTTTTATTTGAAAAGTGAAAAACTTATTATGAGTAATAGTATAACTATATTTGGTATATGGGTTCCTTGCAATGTCTACATGTCCATCAGTAGTGTTCACCTGACCTCGACCTCATTTCATGGATCAGTGATCAAGGTTAAAGTTGCATGGTCAAGTCCGTATCCCAGATACTATAAGCAATAAGTCAATTATATTTATTGTATTGAATGATTGTAAGGTGTACATGTCATACTGACAGGTTTCATCTGACTTTGACTTTAATTTCATGGTTTATTGGACAATGTTTAGTTTTTATGGTTTGGTCTATTTCTCAAATATTATAAGCAATAGGTCAATTATATTTGATGTATTGAAGGATTGTAAGGTGTACATGTCTGTCAGACAGGGTTCATATGACCTTGACCTCATTTTCATGGTTCATTTGTCAATGACAAGTTTTTGTAATTTTGTCAGTGTATCAGATACCATAAGCAAAGCTGCAAAAGGTCAGCTATATTTGGTGTATGGAATGATTGTAAGGTGTACATGTCTGTCTGACATGGTTCATCTGACTGTGACCTTATTTTCATAGAACATTGAAAATGTTAGTTTATGTCATACTTGTAGTAAAACCTTCATATTTGTATTTTGTGTAATGGATGGATACCCATATCCTTTGTTTTTCTATTATATTACATATCTTGCACATGAATTTATTGACAAGTAAAACAGGCAAGGCATTTCACCTTGTGCACTCTTGTATTTTTAAATTATTTATAACATGTATAACTTAAATCCAAATTTAGTAAGTTTCATGCTGATTTATTTGCACAAGATGTCTTGTATGACAGTTTATCTGATCATGACATCATTTTAATTGTTTATTGACCAACATTAAGTTTAAGAGATTGTGTCTGTTTCTCATGTGTAGTAGGTCTACTATATTGAATGATTCCTCCTGCTTTGAGAGTATAATTTGAATTATCTTTACTTCCAATTTTTAGACAGTAATAGTATTCCTTCATGCCCAGGTTCATGGATGGACAGACTGACAGACAAAAGGACAAGGTGATTCCTATATACCCCCACCCCCTAAAAAAAATTGTTTTGCAGGGAGTATGATAAGATGACTTATTTTGTCTCAAGAATTGTCTGTATGTCCAATTAGAGCTCATGTTTAGCTTTTTAAGCATATCAGTAAAAAGTAAATGAAATAAAGTGAAGGGTTGTCTGAGATTGTTTTGCATTTACAGGCAAAAAGAATATATGGAAAGGAGGATGAAGAAAGAAGGGCTAACAATTTGAGGAATAGAACAATAGTACCTCATCAATGTGCTAGTCATGTAGATGACCATGTTAAAGCTCAACACATTGGAGAGATGTTAGTAGTTGTCCAGTCTGGTCAGTCATTATTTGGATTTAGAGGAATATATGGATTACTTGTTCAAGAAACAAAGGTAAGTCACGACCAAACATTTTTTACATCGAGTGTACATCAAGTGCTGTAATTTTTAAAAACATTTACTTCACTAAACCAACTTATTTTTGTGGATACTTTATTTTGCAATTAGCCCTTTCTATCCTACTTTGGGGCGATTTTATTTTGTGATTTTCAAATTTACTTGATGTAGTTTTATAAGGAAAGATCCACGATTTACATTTGCTTTATTTTTCTACTTGCGAAAATAAATCGCTCTCGAAAAATAAACATCTTTTGAGTAGACTACTGACGACGCTGGTCTCTAGGACTTCCCCAAAACACAACAGAAATAATGGATCTAGGAATTACCATATGAGTGAGTTCAGAAGTGTTTTTTGGGGGTAAAGATTGCATAAAATGCAATCAAAACCCTATGGTACTGACTTGATATCTAAATCTTCCAAGGTTTATCACTACTTTTTGAGATACACAAAATATAATGCATTGATCATAACATTCTAAACATCCTATCCATGAACATTTCCAGAAATTTATCAATGAAATATATGCTCAGATATTGAAGTTACAAAATGATGTTAAACTTGTCAAGAAAATTACATAACTTGTGTAAGGTGCAGGAATCTAATATCTGTTCTAAAAATATCAATGATGTCATTGTTAAAGTAATCTTTAAGATTGGAGTTATCTACCTTTGTCCATAATTGTAGTACATCCAATGCAAGGTTTAATTTGACTTCCCACTGATAAATTAAAGCAATCTTTACCCTTCAGTGCTTACAAGCACTTTGATTATCTTTATCACAACACATCATTGTGGGTTAGTACTTACATAACCAACACGACGGGTACCACATATGGAGCAGGATCTGCTTACCCTTCCGGAGCACCTGAGATCACCCCAGTTTGTGGTGGGGTTCGTTTTGCTCAGTCTTTAGTTTTCTATGTTGTGTTTTGTGTACTGTTGTTTGTCTTTTGGTCTTTTTCCTTTTTTTGCCATGGAGTTGTCAGTTTATTTTCGACTTCTGAGTTTGAATGTCCCTTTGGTATCTTTCGCCTCAATTTTAATAATTTGGAAAAATATTGGATAATTATAAATTATAGTTGATCATCTACACAAGATTGATTTTTATCGCATTAGTCATCACATCAAAAACATGAAAAGCAATTGACTGAAGTTGACCAATGATAATTTGTTTATCGCTATTTTGCCTATGACGTCATTGATGTTTACATTGACAACAGCATGTGCCTCCTTAGTTTGTAGCTAAAATATCTATTCTCACTACTGCGCTGAGAAAGGAAATTATCAGTCAGAAAGATCAGAACGAAATTTTCACAAAATACTGTTTGATAAACCTTGATATTGGATAAACCTGACAATTTTAGCAATTTATGCTCCTGGGAGCCTCTAGTGTGTATTTGTTAACCATTCAGGGGATATATTGTTGAGATTGAGAGGTTTTACACCAAAAGGTTATTTTTTATTCATTTATTTAATTTAATTTTATTTTGTTTTAGGTTACACTTGTGTATTATAGAGGCACAAAGGAATATTTCCAGCAAATTAGCCTGGGTAAACCAAAGTTAACTGCAGAAGTTTTATATAGCAATCATTTTAACATTCTAGCTAGAGATGGAAGAAGGACTCTTATTTCTTTGCTCATTGACATGGAAAACTTTACAAAGAGAGAAATGGAAAAGAAATACTGTAGGATGTAGTTTCTACCATACATAATTTTAATTTGTAATATTTGTTTGTAATATTTCCTTTTACAATGTATTGAGAATTCATTATTATTCTTTGGATACCAATTTTCGTGGATTTTGTAGGTACAGGTGAACCACAAATTTAAATGTTCAAAGATTAACTAATTTTCTATAGGCCTGTATTCAGACTTCGGGAAAAACACAATCAAGTACCCACATAAATGCAAGTTTTTTTCAATATACGAAAATTGCTATCCACGAATATAAATGAATCTACAGTATTTTTATACCCCACGCAACGAGTTGCGGAGGGTATAATGTTTTTGACCCGTCTGTCCGTCCGTCCGTCAGTCCGTCAGTCCTGTTTCTTGTCATCGCAACTCCTCTCAAACCACACAACAGAATTTCATGAAACCTTTTCAGATAATAAGGACATACTACGTAGATGTGCATATCGACAGGAAATTATGATTGAATTTTTTTTCCAGGAGTTATGCCCCTTTGAACTTATTTGCCCAATATACTACTGCAACCTTTTGTCATCGCAACTCCTCTCAAACCACACAACAGAATTTCATGAAACCTTTTCAGATAATAAGGACATACTACTTAGATGTGCATATCGACAGGAAATTACGATTCAATTTTTTTTCCAGGAGTTACGCCCCTTTGAACTTATTTGCCCAATATACTACTGCAACCTTTTGTCATCGCAACTCCTCTCAAACCACACAACAGAATTTCATGAAACCTTTTCAGATAATAAGGACATACTACATAGATGTGCATATCGACAGGAAATTACGATTCAATTTTTTTTCCAGGAGTTACACCCCTTAGAACAGATTTGTTGTCACTGAATTATAGATTTTAAGAAAATATGGCAATTTTTTGTTATTATCTTTAAAAATCATAAAATAAAAAAAAATAACCATTGGTGCAAGATTTACACAAAAAGTTGAGTTATTCCAGCTCTCATGAGCTTCTTGATAATGGTTTGTGAACTATGAGTCACAAAAGTGGTGCCAAAGACAGCCAAACCCCCAAAAACAAACTTTTTTATTTCTCGTTCCATGTTTTTCTTTCTGTGGATTCCTTATGACATTTCTATTTACTCCATTTGCAGTCAGATTTGAGATGGGTAAAAAGGGCTAAATAGCTTTTCATATTGGTTCATAGAATCTTTTATATTTTATCTTATTTAATCATCTTAAACCTGCTAATAATGTTCTCATTCCTCATTGCTTTTACAACATTTCCAAAATACTACCAAACATAATGGACTACAAATCATAAATCATATTTTCATATTTGATAAAAAAAACCTTCATTTTTATACTATAAATCAACCATTGAATTGAAAAATATTAAATATTAATTATTACTTCATGTTTATTTTTTCATAACATTTTATGCAGTTGTATTGAACATTGATCATTATACTTGACTTTTATACTAATGTATGTCATTTATATTGATGTTTGCATTGTGTTTTTCCAACGACTTTTTGTGTATGCTTTTTCTAAGATGAGGACCTCAAGGAAGACTAGTTATATAGCTTACTATGTAACCCTCAAAAGTATTGTTGTTGTTAGTGGTGTTGTTACAGCTCCTAGTTCCACATATCTCTTCATTAATATTATTTAACACTGCCGTTTTACAAATAGACATATCTATATCCAACATATTACTGTGTACGTATTTACTAGTGATAAATACCTGTATGACATCTGTAATCGTATTGATTCATGCTGCTGTATGACATCTGCGATCGTATTGATTCATGCTGCTGTATGAAATCTGTGGTCGTATTGATTCATGCTGCTGTCTGACATATGTGATCGTATTGCTTCATGATACATGCTGCCGTATGACATCTGCAGTCGGATTGATTCATGCTGCTGTATGACATTTGTGGTCTTATTGATTCATGCTGCTGTGATTCTAGGTGCTGTATGACAAATATGAGCGTATTGATTCATGCCGCTGTATGACATCCGTGGTCGTATTGATTCATGCTGCTGTATGACATTTGTGGTCGTATTGATTCATGCTGCTGTATGAAATCTGTGGTCGTATTGATTCATGCTGCTGTATAAGATCTGTGGTCGTATTGATTCATGCTGCTCTATGACATCTGTGGTCGTATTGATTCATGCTGATGTATGACATCCGTGGTCATATTGATTCGTGCTGCTGTATGTCATTTGTGGTTGTATTGATTCATGTTGCTATATGTCATATGTGGTCGTATTGATTCATGCTGCTGTATGACATTTGTGGTCGTATTGATTCATGCTGCTGTATGCCATTTGTGGTCGTATTGATTCATGTTGCTGTATGTCATCTGTGGTCGTATTGATTCATGTTGCTGTATGACATATGTGGTCTATTGATTTATGTTCATGCTGCTATATGACATCTGTGGTCGGATTGATTCATGCTGCTGTATGACATCCGTGGTCGTATTGATTCATGATTCATGTTGCTGTATGAAATTTGTGGTCGTTTTTATTCATGCTGCTGTATTACATCTGTGGATGTACTGATTCATGCCGCTGTATGACATCCGTGGTCGTATTGATTCATTATTTATGATGCTGTATGACATTTTTGTTCGTATTGATTAACGTTGCTTTATGGCATTTGTGGTCATATTGATTCATGCACTATGGCATCTGTGGTCGTATTAATTCATGCTGCTGTATGACATATGTGGTCGTATTGATTTATGTTGCTGTATGACATATGTGGTCTTTTGATTTATGTTCATGCTGCTATATGACATCTGTGGTCGGATTGATTCATGCTGCTGTATGACATCCGTGGTCGTATTGATTCATGATTCATGTCGCTGTATGACATTTGTGGTCGTATTTATTCATGCTGCTGTATTACATCTGTGGATGTATTGATTCATGCTGCTGTATGACATCCGTGGATGTATTGATTCATGCTGCTGTATGACATCCGTGGTCGTATTGATTCATTATTCATGATGCTGTATGATATTTTGTTCGTATTGATTAATGTTGCTTTATGACATTTGTGGTCATATTGATTCATGCACTATGGCATCTGTGGTCGTATTAATTCATGCTGCTGTACGACATCTGTGGTCGTATTGATTCATGCTGCTGTATGACATATGTGGTCGTTTTGATAAATGCTGTTGTATGTCATCTGTGGTCGTATTGATTCATGCTGTTGTTTGGCATCTGTGGTCGTATTGATTCATGCTGTTGTTTGACATCTGTGGTCGTATTGATTCATGCTGCTGTATGACATCTGTGGTCGTATTGATTCTTGCTGCTGTATGACATCTGTGGTCGTATTGATTCTTGCTGCTGTATGACATCTGTGGTCGTATTGATTCTTGCTGTTGTTTGACACCTGTGGTCGTATTGATTCTTGCTGTTGTTTGACATCTGTGGTCGTATTGATTCTTGCTGTTGTTTGACACCTGTGGTCGTATTGATTCTTGCTGTTGTTTGACATCTGTGGTCGTATTGATTCTTGCTGCAGTATAACATCTGTGGTTGTATTGATTCTTGCTGCTGTTTGACATCTATGGTCTCAGGTTCATGCTGCACTACCTTTTTATTAAGTCTCCCAAACGAAGTTTGGGAAGACTTATTGTTTTTGCTCAGTTCTTATTATTTTTCTTCTTCTTCTTCTTCTTCTTCTTCTTCTTCTTTTTTCTTCTTCTTCTTCTTCTTCTTCTTCTTCTTCTTCTTCTTCTTCTTCTTCTTCTTCTTCTTCTTCTTCTTCTTCTTCTTCTTCTTCTTCTTCTTCCGCCGCTTTTAATTTTGAAATTGTCCGCACCCGTTCTCCAAAACCGCTTGTCCGATTAACTTAAGGTTTCACAATATGCTAGACTAACATGTCTAGTGGTGCAATCAGGGTTTTGTTTGTGCATTGGGGTTTATAAAGGGGTACTTTGAGGGGCAAAAAGAAAGGAGGGTTTTACAATAGAACCCTATGGGATTTTATTTTTTTAAATTTTCAAATGATTATAAATTGAAAACCGTTTGTGATAGACACAATCTTTTTAATTGAAAATGTTCTAAATGATAAAGCACATTAAATGAAATACAGGGTTAGTCCCCAGGGGTCACCCCCACCCCCTGCCATTTAAGGAAGTTCTAATATCTTTTAAATGGTTGAGATCCCCACCCCTAAACCATATATATTCTGGTTTGTCATGCTAAGATGGTTTGAATGATATACAAGGTTAGTCCCCAGAGGTCATCCCGACCCCCTGCCATTTGAGAAAGTTCTAATATCTTGTAAATGGTCGAGATCCCCACCCCTAAACCATATATATTCTGGTTTGTCATGATAAAGCACATCAAATGAAATACAGGGTTAGTCCCCAGGGGTCCCCCCACCCCCTGCCATTTAAGAAAGTTCTAATATCTTGTAAGTGGTCAAGATCCCCACCCCTAAACCATATATATTCTGGTTTGTCATGCTATGATGGTTTGAATGATATACAGGGTTAGTCCCCAGGGGTCATCCCGACCCCCTGCCATTTGAGAAAGTTCTAATATCTTGTAAATGGTCGAGATCCCCACCCCTAAACCATATATATTCTGGTTTGTCATGATAAAGCACATCAAATGAAATACAGGGTTAGTGCCCAGGGGTCACCCGTCCCCCTGCCATTTAAGAAAGTTCTAATATCTTGTAAGTGGTCAAGATCCCCACCCCTAAACCATATATATTCTGGTTTGTCATGCTATGATGGTTTGAATGATATACAGGGTAAGTCCCCAGGGGTCATCCCGACCCCCTGCCATTTGAGAAAGTTCTAATATCTTGTAAATGGTCGAGATCCCCACCCCTAAACCATATATATTCTGGTTTGTCATGATAAAGCACATCAAATGAAATACAGGGTTAGTCCCCAGGGGTCACCCCCACCCCCTGCCATTTAAGGAAGTTCTAATATCTTTTAAATGGTTGAGATCCCCACCCCTAAACCATATATATTCTGGTTTGTCATGCTAAGATGGTTTGAATGATATACAGGGTTAGTCCCCAGAGGTCATCCCGACCCCCTGCCATTTGAGAAAGTTCTAATATCTTGTAAATGGTCGAGATCCCCACCCCTAAACCATATATATTCTGGTTTGTCATGATAAAGCACATCAAATGAAATACAGGGTTAGTCCCCAGGGGTCCCCCCACCCCCTGCCATTTAAGAAAGTTCTAATATCTTGTAAGTGGTCAAGATCCCCACCCCTAAACCATATATATTCTGGTTTGTCATGCTATGATGGTTTGAATGATATACAGGGTTAGTCCCCAGGGGTCATCCCGACCCCCTGCCATTTGAGAAAGTTCTAATATCTTGTAAATGGTCGAGATCCCCACCCCTAAACCATATATATTCTGGTTTGTCATGATAAAGCACATCAAATGAAATACAGGGTTAGTCCCCAGGGGTCACCCCACCCCCTGCCATTTAAGAAAGTTCTAATATCTTGTAAGTGGTCAAGATCCCCACCCCTAAACCATATATATTCTGGTTTGTCATGCTATGATGGTTTGAATGATATACAGGGTAAGTCCCCAGGGGTCATCCCGACCCCCTGCCATTTGAGAAAGTTCTAATATCTTGTAAATGGTCGAGATCCCCACCCCTAAACCATATATATTCTGGTTTGTCATGATAAAGCACATCAAATGAAATACAGGGTTAGTCCCCCACCCCCTGCCATTTAAGAAAGTTCTAATATCTTGTAAGTGGTCAAGATCCCCACCCCTAAACCATATATATTCTGGTTTGTCATGCTATGATGGTTTGAATGATATACAGGGTTAGTCCCCAGTGGTCATCCCGACCCCCTGCTATTTGAGAAAGTTCTAATATCTTGTAAATGGTCGAGATCCCCACCCCTAAACCATATATATTCTGGTTTGTCATGATAAAGCACATCAAATGAAATACAGGGTTAGTCCCCAGGGGTCACCCCACCCCCTGCCATTTAAGAAAGTTCTAATATCTTGTAAGTGGTCAAGATCCCCACCCCTAAACCATATATATTCTGGTTTGTCATGCTATGATGGTTTGAATGATATACAGGGTTAGTCCCCAGTGGTCATCCCGACCCCCTGCCATTTGAGAAAGTTCTAATATCTTGTAAATGGTCGAGATCCCCACCCCTAAACCATATATATTCTGGTTTGTCATGATAATGCACATCAAATGAAATACAGGGTTAGTGCCCAGGGGTCACCCCACCCCCTGCCATTTAAGAAAGTTCTAATATCTTGTAAGTGGTCAAGATCCCCACCCTTAAACCATATATATTCTGGTTTGTCATGCAGGGATTGTTTTAATGATATACATGGTTAGTCCCTAGGGGTCACCCCCAC